TTACTTTATGTTCCAACTTACGGACTCCTGAGAGAGCACCATCGAATTTTGTAAACGCTACGGTGTTTTACCAGCACAAGCTCACTGCCCTAACTTTCACCAAGTACTAACTCGCACATATGGTATTAACAGAAAGGGGTAAGAATGTGGCTTTCAGATTTCAATGTAATAAGAAGGTATGCAAAAATCTAACAATAACCAAGTTCCTGCATGGAGGGTACATGGTTTTCTGGTTCAATTTGTCTTTGAATAAGACTTTTCTCCTCACCACTGTTTTGCTCATAAGATGAGTTATACTGACACAATCAGAGAAACCAGTATTGATTGTGATAAGGATGGGAGAGTAGTGGAAACATCTAGAGAAACTGTAGCGGACTATTTCATGTACTGTAGGGGAGGTATGCTCTTCAGTCGTAAGGAAAGGAACAGTTCGAACATGATAGGGGGTCCTGGCATGACGGTAGAGATTGATGAGAGTAAGTTTGGTAAACGTAAGTATCATCGGGGTAGAGTAGTCGAGGGCCAGTGGGTTTTGGGTGGAATTTGTACAGAAAGTAGGGAATTATTTTTGGTGCCAGTGGACAAACGTGACAACCAGACGCTTGAGAGGATCATCACGGACAATGTAGCTCGGGGTAGTCACATTATTACGGACTGTTGGAAGGGTTACGACGGACTTGTTGACCTGGGATATATTCACACCAACGTAAACCATTCGGAAAATTTCAAAGGTATTTCAGCATAATGTTGGTATTTATAATGTTCACGTCTTTGTACTTTGTTTTGTCTTCTGAAATTGTATAATTGTAAATAATTCCGTTTTAACCGCTTACAGATCCAGTGACAGGTGCATGCACAAATTTAATAGAAAATAGATGGTGGTGCGTGAAGCGACAGCTTCCGGCCACTCATTGGGCGGGGAGATTTCACGCTTCACCTCGCCGAGTACATGTACCGATGTCAAACAAGAGGAGAATAATTTTATTTCATGTGATGCTCGTTATATTATATGAATTAGTTGTGAGGAATATATCATATTTCCGCTTCTTCCTTGCCAGATGTCATGGCGTCTTTCGTTGGTGAATGATAGTGTTCTATTCCCAGAGGGTGTTTCAAGTGTGTTACCTAATCGTATTAAGTTGCTATTTTGCCCTCACGTTATTGAATGTTGGTTGCATTTTTTTATAATCCTACCACTGTCATTGCGTTTTAATCATATTTTAGAAAGGGGGGTACGGGCGGAACTCTTTCCAATGACAAGAGTGTTGGAACACAAATGTAAGTTTATTTCATGTATTTGAGGTTATCTGTCAATTCTGAAGGTTTGAGTAATGACTTATTTTGAGTATAGTATTTTATCATGCTTATGGTTATTGAATAGGAATTTGAATTCTAAAGTAATGTTTGCATTTCATTGCAGAAATAATTCTATTCTCAATTCATGTTTCACTTGAATTATCATTCCATTCCAAGAGACTACTAACACAGCAGTAATTATGCCTTAAAGTTATGCTGCTGCTGTAAGTAATTAAGTGTGAGAAACTTGTTTTATGGTACTGTTTGTCAAAGCATGTTTAAATAGGTATTTTTTTGTTTCTTTACTAGTTTCTGAACCTCGCCATTTAATGAACCTTGCCATTTAATGAACAATAATAGTCTATCTAAGAAGTTAATGGAAAGAGACCAGCTTTAATATTACATGAATTCATAGGTATTATGTAGTATTGTGCCAAACAGTTTCTAACCGTCCCGCTGACATGTGTGGACTTCAATGTCAAGGTTATATATTCTGGCTATTATCACCAGTACAGCCAAATGCCACAACGTTCATAAATGAACATGACGAATATGCTCTAGTGAATAAACTTTGTTAAATGGTGCGAGTTTGTCGGATATGTAGTTCTTGCATCAACACTCCGTGCTTCACCGTCAGAAATCTTTCCGTTTCCTGAGCAAACTTTTAACACGGTTGATAAACAAGTATGCAACCACCTACTATTAAAGTATTTGAAATGCTTAAAGCATTTTGTCCTTTAGTAATTTCAGCTTCCTAAAAATACTGATATTATTTCTTTTTTACTTGCACTAAAAGGACTTCCCTGGATCTTTTAACAACGTAGCCTCAGCACCAGTGAAGATCTAGGTTAGAATTGATCTTCAGTAATCCATGCTCGTCGTAAGAAGAAGAGCGACTAGAGGGGATCGGGTGGTCAGGCTCTCTCACTTCATTAGCATGGATCGATGCTCATGCTGTTAATCACTAGATTGTTTTTGTCCAGACTAGATTTATTTACAGACCGCCGACATATGGCTGGAATATTGCTGAGTGCAGCGTAAAAAGTAAATGATTTTTCCAATTTTAAGAAAAAGATTGGTATGATTTTCATTAAAAATATGTGCTATATGTCCAGTTTATGTGAATCTATTTTCCAGGTTTGTTCATTTAGATTTCAGTCCGCTTTTAAAAACTTGCTGAGATTTCAAATCAGATAAAACAAATACCAGTTATACACATAAATATTTGCTAGGGCTCACTCAATTCTGCACACATATAATAATATGTAGTTGCCAGTTAAAGTTAATAGAGGACAGTGCTTATGCTCCGATCACCTTTAAAAAATTGTTTTAAAATTGATAGCATAGAAAATATAAAATGTTATAATATTTTCCTAATTTATCATTCTGGCATATGTTTCTTCAAGTTTATTAAATCTTGATATAGAATGTCCCATTCATCACCTAGTGGTGCTTAGTCTTACACGACCGCAGTGCATATACATGTAGCTCTGTTGGCTAATTATGGGAGCTGAATCACCTCAGTCCTCCTCCTCATCATCTCTTTAATTGTAGGTTTTAGCTGTCCTTTTTATCCTTTTATCTATTAGGCTAAATATAGCATCATCTGGTTAAAGTTTAATTAAGGATAGAACCTTTTCTTCCATTCTGCTACTTCAATCTATTGTAAACAAAAGGGAGATAACTCGTTTTCTGTGTGCTGGAGTGTCCACAATCCAAGTTCAAACCTCATGTCGTAATTTTTTTTCGATTCTAATTATCATTATTTACTGTTTTGTACACCTCAGTTGTATGTTTTTCAATATTTTGTACCATTTTCTGGACTTATTTTCAGATAGATATAAAAATAATTGAAAAATACCATTTTTCATAGTTTTTACCCCCAAAAAGCCACTTAGCATCAACATCCAAGGGAGGACTTTTTATATTTTGTTTACATAACTATTATAAATGATATGAACACAAAACCATTTCTGTACCAATATTTTGGAGGTTCAGTGATTTTTCTACTAATTTTACTGGACTATTTATAAATGTTCTGAAACCAAGCTTCCCAGTGGACAAATAAGCTGAAACTGAACCAGCTTGGAGCAGCCATTTTGAAATACATTTGTAGACATTAAGCCATCACTTAAAAAGAAATGGAATGAAGTTAACAGCTGCAGAAGATTTGGTTTTCTACTACAGTCAAATCCTGATGAGTCGAATCTCTGGGGACCAAGTAATAAATTCGACTTATTGATGTATTTGAGACATAGGTATATCTATGAGGGTAGAAAAAAAGATGATCCAGTCCAAATTCCTCCGCCTAAGCATTTGTTTATCTAATGATTTCCCTATCACTAATAGGGACACCTTATCAGTTCCAGTCTGATTAGCACAGACAGTGATTTCCATAAAACCACTAATTTGCCTTTTGAACTCACCCGTCAAAGGCGGAAAGGTGTGAGCCGCGCTGGTTTGTTAATTGGATCAACTTGGATCTACACCAATCAACTTCTCATTGACTGACTTCGGCTTATGTATACAAGATTGCTGTTTGAATTTCATGGGACCAAATTTTCTTCTCAAGTCATCGTGTGTATTTATGAGACGGATTCGTGTAACTGGTATTCAAATGATGACAGCTATAACAGGGAATGGTCGGGACTGACAGGTACTTCGAGTTATGCATAATGTTCGAGACACCGGCATTCGACTCATCGAGATTTGACTGTATTTACTTTAACCTTGATTAACATTTATGTGTTTTGACCACATTGACCCCTCCTCTGCTTGTGTAAACATAACCACTTCCAAAACTGAGGAACCTGAACTTAGGCAAGCATGAACTTAGGCAATCCAGTGATCAACATCATGAGCATCAATCAACGCAATTGGGATACAATGACATGTCAGCGAAACTAACCACCTAATCCCGTTGTCGCCTCTTAGTCAAGCATGGTTTGCTGAAGACCAGTTCTAACCCAGTTCCTCACTGGTACTTGCATTTGTTTACCAAAAGTTTTAGTTTGAGAAGATTTAAAGCATCAGCAGGGTATTCACCTTTGTCAGGCATAGCATACTATTATCATGAAAGGTTGCAGTTTTATCCAATCAAAATAGAGAGCGGAAGGTCACGGGTTCAATCCGTGGTCGGCTCGGAGTCAGTATAATGTATCTGAGTGGGGTATTCAGGCTTCACTGTGGCGTGGTATCTCAGTGGACTAGCACTATAAAACCAGCTTAAGTCTGGGCTAGTACAAGCAACCGCACATACGCATACACACGCACGTCGTCATTTGAGCGAAATAATCTCAAGCACGACGTTAAACACAATTTCACCTCGCTTTCAATCAAAATAGGATACAAATACATTAATACAAAAAGAAAAGTCTTTGTTTAATGTACCTTTTTCCAAATAGTTTATTTAACTGTTTAGTGAATATTTCTGGGTGGCTGAATGTTTGCCTGAATTTGACTTGTATCATGGACACACAAGACATATGATGGAATTTGACTTGCATCATGGACAACCAAGACATATGATGGAATTTGACATTGCCATTATAATTCTTCCATCAGCAAACCAGTGAGTCCAGTGAGGTTGTTTGTTAAAGTTTGTATAAGGACATTCAATAATGGTGGGTGAGCTACAGAACCCTTGGAACAATGTTGTCAGACCAGCTTACTTATTGTCATAGCATGTTTAGATTCCTCATTATTTTCACAGACAGCACGGTGAAGTGAGGAGGCGAACTTGTGATGGCCAGTAGAGATGAAGATAGTGGACACCATCTGGTCATGGCCACTTCCAGTGAGCCATCTGAAGGTCACATGGAAACTTCCAATGAGGTATCTGAATTTCGCGTTGCTACTTCTGGTGAGTCATCTGAAGGTCACATGGCCGCTTCCGGAGAGCAGTCTGAAAGTCACATTGACATGTTAGCTTTGAGAGGTGACTTGCCAGTTCCTGATATTGACATATCCAGTTCAGATGAGGAATATCTTACAGCAGAGGATGACTCTGGTAGCAGTGGAGTCAGTTCAGACGAGGAACATGAAGGTCACTTGGTACCCGCAGGTTCAGCTGAGCACAGGGAGGTCCTTGAGCTGGAGAGCCAAGCAATCACACTAAGTACAGGTTGGTGTCACTCTTGTCCTCAGGGTTGTCATCTGAGTTGACATTTACATGAAATAAAACAAACTAAGGTGTCCTGTTCATTCTTTTTAATATTCCAATTCAAATATTTTACATCAGTCAAATTTCACTCAGTTCGTCATTGTTGTACTTTTCCACCTGTCTGTCTCTTTGTACTGTGAACTCTCCCTTCAAACGTTGTCAAAATCATGTCCTTATAAATTAACTATTTAAATGACATTTGCGGTTTTGAAACTGGATGCCACAGATGTTTTCATGTGAACAATTGACTAGCCTTTGCATGTATTTAGGACATGTGAAACTGATAAGGCAGGATACGCCCACCTTTTCGTCACCACCTGGTATAATCACTATTTGACTGATTCATGAGCAGTCAGATTGTATATCGACTGTTCTAGCCTCTAGCAGATGGAGCTGAAGTGAGGTGAAATTGGGTTTAACGTCGTACTTGAGAATATTTTAATGTCTTTTGGTATGACGCGGTTGGGGATCGCGACCTTCCGCTCTCCGGGCGGACGCTCTAACCACTTCACCATGGAGGCGGTCTCTAGCAGATGGATGTTTTGTCACCTCCATTTAGTGGAGAATACAACTTTTAAGGCTCACACCTTTTTCAGAACAGAAAGACACATTGCTCTGAAATGTTCACAGGATGTTCACAGCCTGTTTTAGCATGACGATTTGTGTTTGTGTTGTTTAATGGCACACAGCAATATTCCAGCTAATTGGCAGTGGTCTGTGAATAGTTTGGACAAGACAATCCAGTGATCAACAGCATGAATATCAATCTACACAACTGGGATACAATGACATGTGTCAACCAAGTCAGTAAGCCTGACCACCCAATCCTGGTAGCAGTCAGAGACGTATCGTGTACGCGAGATGGACTATGATCTCTTGTACGTGAGATGGGTGCTCTCTGCGATACAAACTGAAGCGCTTGATTCAATCAACGTGTAAACACGATGCGGGATGATTAAAGCGTCCCGTAAAATCCCCAAGCGTGGTGGTTACTTGACAGTCGTGAATAAACAGGTTTTTCGGGAAAGCAGAAACACCACACCCTCTCAGGTAGTCACTTGTACGTGTAATGGGGGACCGTCTCGTGTACATGTTACATCCACTACTGGTTAGTCGCCTCTTACGACAAGTATGGGTTGCGGAAGACCAATTCTAACCAGGATCTTCATGGCTGTACCCCGATCTTGATAATATCCAAGAATTATGTCAGTCTGTCAGTCAAAAGACATTTCAGTTCATCATGGGTATAATTATGAGGAGAGAAGGTGTCTATTTTGAACAATACTTGTTTGCTTCCTGAATACAGTGTATGAATCAACTTGATCTGCTTCACTCTGTGTCAGTATGTTGAGGAGCTGACAGAGCGTCAGACAGTTTGTTGAATCTCATGATTCCTGATTAATATGTTTAATTCAGCAGCGATTGTATATGACAGGATAAGTTTTATCATCATGAAATATGTGAACGTCTTCAGAATGATAGAAACCCAACTTTTCGCCCTGCAGTAATATGAAATAATGTTATTCAATGTGGAAAGAAAACACCTGATTAATTCAGGTTTTGGTTACCATGGTTACTGATGATTCCTCCTGTTTGGTGTTGACAGGTGAACAGCGTTCAGGGAACGCCCAAGCTGCCAACATGATCAACATCGTCACTGGAGGGGCAGGACAAGGAACACTGGGGAGAGGTGAGTGTTGATGGAGGAAGGGTCAGTAAGTGACTAGATCTTGTTCAAGACTGTTACCATTCTCAGTTTCTCAGGGACAGAATCTGTGCATACCACCATGTTGTTTCCCTGGTCCTACCTGTCACCCACATGGATTGAAATGTTTGATAGAAGAATACATCGTATATAAACTCCTGATGTATTGACATATCTTGCAAAACTAATGAATCTTGAATCATGTATCTGTATATAAAACAACTAGTACACACCCTGTGTCAATTTTGCTGTGCTTTCACAACTGATACCACAAGCTTTTGTCAGTGAATAAGCATGTTGGTGTTTTGTGTTCAGTTCAAAGTAGTCTTAAATGTGGAGTTGAAATATCACTTTCTTTGGATGAGACTTATAACAACTGAGGGATGTTCCACACACAACAGAAATAAGTGAATACTTTGTCGTTTTATGTTTACACCGAAGTCTTTGCGGGGATGGTAAAAACTTTTTTCCCCTTCACAGATAACCTTGATTTGCGCACAGATGAAGCAAGGAAGATTTTTGCTCCAACTGAAGCCTACAGAAAAGTGAAACAGAAGTTGAAGGAATTTGGTCATGTGACTATCTGTGGCGCTTCAGGAGAAGGCAAGACAACAATGGCTCTGATGCTGGGTTCACAGTATAGACAAAAGGGGTACGAGGTCGTGTTTGTGGACAGCCTTAAGAAGTTTGACTTTGACCGATGTCTTAATACTTACTCAAGAGTATTTCTGATTGTAGACGATTTGTTTGGTACAGTTGGAGTATCTGCTAATACTTCACAGGTTAAAAACTTTCTGAACAATCTTCTCCCCCATTTAGAACAAAAGCAGAGAGCAGAAGAGAAACGGTCAGAATTGAGTGAAAACAGTGATGCTGGTGAAAATTCAGAAACAAAGTGCAAAGTTTAACAGAATCTCAAACAAAGGACATTCATGTTGTCTTCACATCAAAATCTTACAATTTCCATGATGGACTTGCAAAACTGCAGTATGAGGGTTTCAAATTGTTCAAGGGTCAGACAGTAGTGGACTTAACAAAACAAGAACAATACAGGCTTTCTGACAAAGAGAAGAAATCAATATTTGAACGACATAGGCATGCTTTTGGTGACTACTCTGTGCAACATATTCCAGATTACAATGAGCTGGAAATCTCTTCCAACATCTTTGGATTTCCTCTCATTTGTAAACTTTGTTTTGAATTTTCCTCTTTCTTTAAAATGCAAAATCATTTTTCAAGGAACCACTCTTTTATCTTAGGTTAGAACTGAAGCAGTTACTTGAAGATAGAAATGATAGATCGGCCAGTTTGGTTCTGATGCTGCTGTGTGAAGACAAATTGAACCTGACCAGGTTAGACAGTGGAGATGAAGACAAGGAAATGGACAGGATGGTCAAAACTGTTCAAGACCTGATGCCAAATGCTACACGTTCAGGCATGTACAAAGCCGCTAAAAGTTTTAGAGGTACATTCTTCACAAGAGGAGACACTGTTGGCTTTTGCCCATTCTTCAATCTATGATGCTTGTGCCTGTGCCTTGTTCAATATCAGTCCAGTCTTTGTTTTGAAGAACTGTAGTGATGACTTTCTGTTTGAAAGAGTACAAGGTGAAAAGGTTGAAGAAACAAAGTTGATGACCATATCCATCTGATATATGTCTCAGATAATTATGATGACCTACTAACCACAAGGTTTGCAGATTCTATTAAACAAGGAAAGTTTTCTCAATCAGTGACACATCCTGTTCTCAAACGAGACACAACAGCTTTTAAACTGCTCAACAAACTTCAGTGTGATGGGACAAAGCACCACCATCATCATAATCAAACTGATTCTAAAGATGAACTTTGGTTTCACAGGAGAGAGAAAGGAAAATGTTTCCTGTACTGGGCTGTTCTTGGACATAATGCACATCTAGTTACAGATGTAGAACACACAACAGGTGAAGTGTTCTCTCAAAAGGAGATCAGTCAAGCTATGGAAGGGTGTGCACAAAGCAACAATGTGACAATATTGAAATGGCTCTTCACTCACTCTGAAAAACCAGTTCAACAATTGACACTGAACAGACTCTTGTTGCAAGCTGCTGAAAATGGCAGCTCCGATATTCTAGTGTATCTGCTCCAGGAAGGTGCTGACGTTAACACTAGAGACAAGAAGTTACAAAACATCTTCCATCTGGTTTGTAAGACAGGAATGGAAAAATCCCTGAAAATCCTGTTAAATAGGAAACCTGGAGATAATGTGATAAACTCTGTTGATGTGAATGGCAGAACCCCTGTCATGGTTGCAGCACTTTCAGCATCACAAGGTTGTTTTGAGTTACTATGGAAAAAATCGAACTTGTATGTGAAAGATAAATATTGCAATGGAATTATTCATCTTGCCTGTCATAGTGGCATCAAGGCTGTCGTGAAACATCTCCTCTCTCCTTCTAACATCAACAGTAGAGGGATATATGGCTGGACTCCAGCAATGTGGGCAGCTGTCAGTGGACATCAAAGTGTGTTTGACCTCCTTGTGTCCAAGCACGCTGATCTGACACTGGTGTCTACATCTGGTGATAGTTTACTTCATCTTGCCTGTCAGGGTGGGAACACTGCTATAGTACAACACCTCCTGTCTCCCTCTAACATCAACAGTAGAGGTGAGTATGGAAGGACGGCAGTCATGAAGGCAGCTTTCAGTGGAAATCAAAGTGTGTTTGACCTCCTTGTGTCCAACCAAGCTGACCTGACACTGGTGGATACATCTGGCGATAGTTTACTTCATCTTGCCTGTCTTGGTGGGAACACTGCTATAGTACAACACATCCTGTCTCCCTCTAACATCAACAGTAGTGGGAGACTTGGCTGGACTCCAGCAATGATGGCAGCTGTCAGTGGACATCAAATTGTGTTTGACCTCCTTGTGTCGAAGCAAGCTGACTTGGCACTGGTGTCTACATCTGGTGATAGTTTACTTCATCTTGCCTCTCAGGGTGGGAACACTGCTATAGTACAACACATCCTGTCTCCCTCTAACATCAACAGTAGAGGTGAGTATGGGTGGACGGCAGTCATGAAGGCAGCTGTCAGTGGACATCAAAGTGTGTTTGACCTCCTTGTGTCCAACCAAGCTGACCTGACACTGGTGGATACATCTGGTGATAGTTTACTTCATCTTGCCTGTCAGGGTGGGATTACTGCTATAGTACAACACCTCCTGTCTCCCTCTAACATCAACAGTAGAGGTGAGCATGGATGGACGGCAGTCATGAAGGCAGCTGTCAGTGGACATCAAAGTGTGTTTGACCTCCTTGTGTCCAACCAAGCTGACCTGACACTGGTGTCTACATCTGGTGATAGTTTACTTCATCTTGCCTGTCAGGGTGGGAACACTGCTATAGTACAACACCTCCTGTCTCCCTCTAACATCAACAGTAGAGGTATCCATGGACGGACAGCAGTGATGAAGGCAGCTGTCAGTGGACATCAAAGTGTGTTTGACCTCCTTGTGTCCAACCAAGCTGATCTGACACTGGTGTCTACATCTGGTGATAGTTTACTTCATCTTGCCTGTCATGGTGGGAACACTGCTATAGTACAACACCTCCTGTCTCCCTCTAACATCAACAGTAGAGGTGAACATGGATGGACAGCAATCATGACGGCAGCTGTCAGTGGACATCAAAGTGTGTTTGACCTCCTTGTGTCCAACCAAGCTGACCTGACACTGGTGGCTACATCTGGTGATAGTTTACTTCATCTTGCCTGTCAGGGTGGGAATACTGCTATAGTACAACACCTCCTGTGTCCTCCTAACATCAACAGTAGAGGTGAGTATGGGTGGACGGCAGTCATGAAGGCAGCTGTCTGTGGACATCAAAGTGTGTTTGACCTCCTTGTGTCCAACCAAGCTGACCTGACACTGGTGTCTACATCTGGTGATAGTTTACTTCATCTTGCCTGTCAGGGTGGGAACACTGCTATAGTACAACACCTCCTGTCTCCTTCTAACATCAACAGTAGAGGTGAGCACGAATGGACGGCAGTCATGAAGGCAGCTGTCAGTGGAAATCAAAGTGTGTTTGACCTCCTTGTGTCCAACCAAGCTGACCTGACACTGGTGGATACATCTGGTGAAACTTTATTTCATCTTGCCTGTCAGGGTGGGAACACTGCTATAGTACAACACATCCTGTCTCCCTCTAACATCAACAGTAGAGGTATGCATGGACGGACAGCAGTGATGAAGGCAGCTGTCAGTGGACATCAAATTGTGTTTGACCTCCTTGTGTCCAACCAAGCTGATCTGACACTGGTGGATACATCTGGTAATAGTTTACTTCATCTTGCCTGTCAGGGTGGGAATACTGCTATAGTACAACACCTCCTGTCTCCCTCTAACATCAACAGTAGAGGTGAGCATGGATGGACGGCAGTCATGAAGGCAGCTGTCAGTGGACATCAAAGTGTGTTTGACCTCCTTGTGTCCAATCCAGCTGACCTGACACTGGTGGCTACATCTGGTGATACTTTACTTCATCTTGCCTGTCAGGGTGGGAATACTGCTATAGTACAACACCTCTTGTCTCCTTCTAACATCAACAGTAGAGGGAGACATGGATTGACAGCAATCATGAAGGCAGCTGTCAGTGGAAATCAAAGTGTGTTTGACCTCCTTGTGTCCAACCATGCTGACCTGACACTGGTGGCTACATCTGGTGATAGTTTACTTCATCTTGCCTGTCAGGGTGGGAATACTGCTATAGTACAACACCTCCTGTCTCCTTCTAACATCAACAGTAGAGGGATGTATGGCTGGACTCCAGCAATGGTGGCAGCTGTCAGTGGACATCAAAGTGTGTTTGACCTCCTTGTGTCCAACCAAGCTGACCTGACACTGGTGGCTACATCTGGTGATAGTTTGCTTCATCTTGCCTGTCAGGGTGGGAACACTGCTATAGTACAACACATCCTGTCTCCCTCTAACATCAACAGTAGAGGTGAGTATGGGTGGACGGCAGTCATGAAGGCAGCTGTCAGTGGAAATCAAAGTGTGTTTGACCTCCTTGTGTCCAACCAAGCTGACCTGACACTGGTGGATACATCTGGTGATAGTTTACTTCATCTTGCCTGTCAGGGTGGGAATACTGCTATAGTACAACACCTCCTGTCTCCCTCTAACATCAACAGTAGAGGTGAGCATGGATGGACGGCAGTCATGAAGGCAGCTGTCAGTGGACATCAAAGTGTGTTTGACCTCCTTGTGTCCAACCATGCTGACCTGACACTGGTGTCTACATCTGGTGATGCTTTACTTCATCTTGCCTGTCAGGGTGGGAATACTGCTATAGTACAACACCTCCTGTCTCCTTCTAACATCAACAGTAGAGGGAGACATGGATTGACAGCAATCATGAAGGCAGCTGTCAGTGGAAATAAAAGTGTGTTTGACCTCCTTGTGTCCAAGCACACTGACCTGACACTGCTGGATACATATGGTGATAGTTTACTTCATCTTGCCTGTCAGGGTGGGAACACTGCTATAGTACAACACCTCCTGTCTCCTTCTAACATCAACAGTAGAGGTGAGCATGGATGGACGGCAGTCATGAAGGCAGCTGTCAGTGGACATCAAAGTGTGTTTGACCTCCTTGTGTCCAACCCAGCTGACCTGACACTGGTGGCTACATCTGGTGATACTTTACTTCATCTTGCCTGTCAGGGTGGGAATACTGCTATAGTACAACACCTCCTGTCTCCTTCTAACATCAACAGTAGAGGGAAACATGGATGGACTCCAGCAATGAAGGCAGCTGTCCGTGGACATGAAAGTGTGTTTGACCTCCTTGTGTCCAACCAAGCTGACCTGACACTGGTGGCTACATCTGGTGATAGTTTACTTCATCTTGCCTGTCAGGGTGGGAATACTGCTATAGTACAACACCTCCTGTCTCCCTCTAACATCAACAGTAGAGGGAGACATGGATTCACACCCGTATTGAAGGCTGCCTTCTATGGACATAAAGATGTGGTTGACCTCCTAATACAACACAAA